TTCACTTGCCTATATAAATATACCAAGCCTATACAACATCATAACAGTTTCTCTATAACTTAGAGTTTCTACATACTTGTCACTTCTTTAACTCAACATGCTTTTGGTACAAACTGCTCAAGAAGAATCTCTCTCAAATGGCATCAAGCATCTTCAACTTTTGTCTGAGTTTTGTGTAATAAGATTCATTGGTTTTCACACTTGCATATGGAGGTAGGGTTCTCATGGCGATATCCTCACTGAGCTTGAGTTTTATTGCAGTAGTTTTTAATTTTTTTTTTTTCGTTTTAATTTTTTTCTTGACCTTGCAAGGCTTTAGTAGTTTTTATTTTTTGATAGTTTTATTTAATTTTGTTTGTTTATGTAGAATTTCTCCTCTCATCTTGTCAACCACTCCCATTTTATACATTTTTAGCTATTCCTCCTGAGCTTTGATCTTGTAAACATGGTTCTTACATGAACTTGTATGATGAAATTTATATATATATATATAAGTCTTTCCTTTATGAATATATTGTTATGAACAAAGAAAAATAAGAACTTTTACTCATAAATTTGTAGGCAAAAAAACAAAAGAATGCTCCAACAATTTTGGTGTTATTTACAGGCTAATAATAATGTGTTAACATTATATGATTTTTTTTTTAAATATGAATATAATAGAATTATATCTTATGATACTGATTTTACTACATTGGTGTGAATGTGATGATAAAATGAAGAAGAAAAAAAAGCATAAAAATGAGAGAAGTATGTAATCAGCATCCAGTGGCAGTAGAAAGAGATTGATTGAAAGAATTGAAAGAACAAAACCAAGATGCTTTTCTTCTCTCATTTTGAGATGAAGATCTTCCAAAACCAGCACCAGCACCAGCACCAGCACATCTTGTTAAATGGTTCCTCAAGTTCCTTCCAACACTTGTGCAAGGAACCAAGGAAGGACTAACATCATCAGAACCTCCCAAACAAAGACTAGAATTCATTCTGAATGAAGAGAATCTCTGACAGCTCGAGGACCGAAATGATCTTGAAGTGGAAGAAGTTTTAGAGGCACGTGAAGTTGTTGGTTTGCAAAATGGTGTTGTCATGTCAGAGGAATCGCCAAGAACTTCACTTGAACAAGTGCAAAATGTTAAGGACAAGTTTGTTGTTGTCCTTTGGATTTCTTTAGGTAAGGGTCTTGTGTGTGGAAGCTTAACAAATGTGACTATGCCGTGGCGACAGAGAGGACATGCAATTGAACCTGGGGGACCATGTCTGCTTGTTGATGCTGAGGTTGTTGAGCAAAGGTACAAGGCACATTGCGTGCAGAATTCATGATCACAACCTGCATTATATCGTACACACAAAGTTTATGCATTAGACAACAACATAAATAGTTGTTTCAGTCAATTATTGTTTAAGCAAAAATAACAACAATTGGTACTACATCAACTCTCACCATAAGACTTTGACTTCATGATTTCAAGATAAACTTTTAAGGAATTTTGATAAAAGTAACTCAATGAACTTTCAAAAACATTGTTAATGGATACTTTTTTTTTTCTTTCAATTTTTCAATTTTTTTCTTCTTAAATTTGTTTTAAGCATTTTTCTTTTCAGTTTCAGTTTTGTTTGACTTTATAATTTCAAGATAGACTTTTAAGCAATTTTGATAAAAGTCATTAGGCCGGCGTATGAGTCTGTCTGGATACTAGTACGACACACATTGAAAAAGTCAATTAAGTGTTGCAAAAGTCAAACAAATGTCTCACTCACTCGTATTACATTTATCATCGGACATTTCAGAAAATAAAATATAAAGAGGTAGATGACAAAAGCAATGGTGTAAATTTGTAAACCAATATAGGTTTGAAGAGAAAAGAGCTATCAAAGCATGAAATGCAATAAATGGAAGAGAAAAGAATCACATGAAAAGACTATATATTGCTCTTATTATTTGACAGATTCATACCATTTGTAGAAAACATATCCAAACCTCACCAATTACTTAAATCATGTAAATAAATATATCAGTCAAATGAAAAGACTATATATTGTAAATAGAACATTTTGATTTTTGGAAATATCAATTCTAAATGTATTTTCTAGTAAAAAATGAGACCAAGTTTCTTAACATTGCAATTGTTGCATAAGCAAAAGTTTAGGCATATAAAAAAGCCAAATCATTTTTCATGTAAGAACATCTATATCAGCATTGAATGTATTATAAAAAAGTGTTATTACCTTCTACAGCAACCATACATTTTCTTTCCAAACAAACTGCACATGGATCTAAACATATAGGTGCTAATTCACTTGTCCTCCATCCACATTCTCTGTTAGGAATGATACCAATAGAAGCAATAATGTTAGTAACCTTTGGAATAAATAAACTTTGAAGAGTAAAATTAATTTTCTTCACCGCAGAACCAAACACACGCTTAGCAGATAGCAATCAATATCAAACTTAAAAGGTTATTAACTGACACTCGAAAATTGGTTGAATTTTCGAAGGGATGGTTCTGAAAAACACATACCTGGCAATTTTCACGATGCTCATAAACGGAAGAGATATATATGGCGAAGGAAGAACTTGTAAATTTTCGGCTGGAGGTGTTTTTAAGGTGTCCTCGAGCCAGCTTCTATGCCATGACCGAGCAACCATTAAGGGACTCCATCTTCAAAACAAAAATCAAGAATGTAAACCAAAGAATTCAAAATCCATCTAAGATACATAGTGCTTTAGACAATACAGAGCTATGGATGGTTCATGTAAGTACAACAAAACACTGATAAAATTGCTCGTCGTTCCAATATAACAACGATTACGTCTAATTTTTATAGCAAAAGTTCACAATCCTACACTTCAAACTTAACAAACATTTATTGATACATACCCATTTGCATTCTCAGCAGTCAAACTGGCACCCTTGGCAATCAATAGCTGCGAACCGAACAAAAAAGACACAAGAAAAAATCAATAGAACTTCAATGTTAAGTGCAACAATAAAATTTTCTCCGAAAAGAAAATAGAAACGTACTTGACAACATTGTGCATTTCCACCACATGCAGCATAATGAAGTGGAGTGCTCCCAGAACCTGCAAGAAGCGCGCACGGATATGGAAACAATCGAGAGATAGTAGGAATAAAACATTTGACATCACTTTATCGCGTGAACTATGAGATAATAAATAATTACCAATTAAATCAATAGTAGTTCCATCCTCTACGGTAACCTCGGAGACGGAAGCTCCCAATTCCAATAGCAACTGCACGCTTTCAACATGGCCATTCAATGCTGCCATATGCAGAGCAGTGATGCCTCCATCAGAAGTTTTGTTAATCACCTCGCAAATACCACTACGTATGCAACCATTCAAAGACAAAATTAACTTACGGCAACAACAGTTTATAGTGAATGATTACAAATTTACAATAGCATTTCTGAGTGGGCGTACCTTCGATCAAATTCTGCGATTGATTGGTAATCGCCTGTCTGTAATACATCCCAAAAGTTAGGAATGCTTGGTATATAGTCTGCGAGGAGGATCCGAATGCACCGAGTGTGACCATTCAAAGCAGCCAAATGGAGGGCCGTACCGCCATTTAGGTAATCTGTTTTATGAATCTGCAGTCCAATTTAACAACCAATCTTTTACAACTCATTTCACCAATGGTTTATCTCGTTAAAAAATAGTACAAAATCGGTTTGCCATAACTATCTTACATTCGCTTTAAAAAGGATCAGAGTCTGAACAACCTCCCAGTGACCATGTTGGCAAGCTTGCATCAATGCAGTCTGTCAATGGTATAAGAAATCGTAAAGTAAGCAAACAAAAAGTTTTAGACAGTCAACAAAGTATGTGTTAAATCAATGTTTTCTTCCGCAGATTGCACGTAATTACGGTTTGTTCAAATTCTGCTATGCTATTAGTACTAATTGTGTATCGTGAAACAATAGCGGTTTGTCCGAATTCCATTATGCTACGATGCAATAGCCACTATTTGACAACAAAATAATATCGTATTACCTGACCGCGATAATTCCTGAGATTTATATCAACCCCGGATTCAAGCAAGAGATGCACTATCTACATGAACGAAAAACACAAGATATATGTTCAGACGAATCGCAAAAAAACAAGAAACAAGTAAATGATCAGGTGCATTGAATTTTGTATTATACCTCATGGTGGCCATGAGCAGCAGAGTAATGCAACGGAGAATTCCGAACTCCAAACGTCGAATACCTCGCAAGACGAGGGTTATATTCCAACAAGGCCTTAGCCTCTTGAACATCACCATCTCTTGCTGCAGAAACTAGCCTTTCCCCAGATGCAGAACATCCAAAAGAATTTCCAACCAAACTTAGAAATTTCATTTCCCTCAGAAATTAACTAATCAACACAACAATTAACTATAATCAGGAAGAAAAAAAAAATCCCCAATTTCACTTTTTGACAATAGTCCTTAACATGGAATCTTCAAAGTTCAAACCTTAATCAATCCGAAATTCTTAATCAAACCTTAATCAATCCGAAATTCTTAATCAAACCTTAATCATTCATTCATTGAATTCACCAACCTAACAACAACCTAATTAAGGTTTCTCAAGCCTCCAAAGGAATTAGTTGTAACTTGCAACTGTCAAAGACCACCCTCACATGATTCTTGAGGTTTTCTAGGCAACAGCAAAAAGAAAACCAATCATTAGTGCATTTTTCAAAACATTTTGAAATTGAAGAAAACCAAATAAAAACGCAAAATTTATTAATTTTGAAGACAAAATCTTTGTACCTTAAAGAAGAATCTCTAATTATTCCAAATTCAAATTCCAATTCCAATTCCAAGTGCCTGACATGAAACATCAAATCAAAACATTCCTTAAAAAAAGTGAAATTACAACAACCTTGTTAAATTTTCGTTATTCCTAATGAAACATTTTGAACCATACCATAATCAGAAAGGAAAAAAAATAAAAAATCTTACATCCTGGTATAAAAAGGTTTGTGTTGATTAATGATTATTGTGGTTTGTAGGAGAAGATTGTTGAAATTCAAACAACCTCCTCCATTGACAAAAAGGAATGAAAAAAATTGAATTACAACGAGGATGACGGGAATGAAGTATAGCTAAAAAGGGAAAATTGCTAAAAATGTCGAAAAAAGGTGACAGATTGTATTGGAAAAAGAGAAAGAAAGAGAGAGAAAGAGAAAGAGAGGAAGATGAAAAGGCATTGTTGGGGTTGAGAGCATGATTGGTTATAGTAGTAGTATAATTAAAAGGAGTCAACTTGGTAGTTGTGTTGTTTTTTTCTTTGTCCCCACTGTTACGCGGAAGAGAAATTCATTCTTAGATAGACTTATAGTAACCCAACAGGCCAACACAAACCTCGAGGTTTGATTCACCTAGGTGTACTTACCTAAGACATAGGTTAGGGGTCCAAATCCTAATCAATAGGAGTATTACAATCTTCATTTTCATTACACCGATTACTAGTAATATTACTCAATTCTACTTCTCTGTTTTAGTTTATGGTTCTTGTTAATGATCGCAAGAGGGTGTTTATGTTCTAGTTACGTTTAGATTATTGTCAAATCTTTAGGATTTAGTACTAATAGACGGCTTCTTGGATCGAGTAATATGTAGGAAACAGTGCATGCTAGAATAGAGGAGAATCGGCTCTTCCTTTTTTTATAGGGTCAGATTGAATTTTCCATGAGCACTTTGTATATGTCACATGTGGGTAAAATGGATCAGGTGATAATCACATGTCTGAGTCGAGCTATCAAAGTTATAGCTGGGTGATCTTAGGTAACACATGTTTGTTATTTGCATGCTTTTGGACGGCTTCTTGTTGAGAGTAATTTCTTGTGTTGAAGTAATTTGTTCGACAGAGATAAAGGAGTGTCGAAACAATGCGTGTCGAAGGGAGATTGTTCATTCGAAAAGCTTGTGGATCGAAGCAAGCTACACACAGATTCGATTTGTTTTAGATTTAGATATATTTGATTTAGATCTAAAATAGATAGATTTGATTTAGTACCAAAATAGATATTTTGGACTTTTATAGTTTTTGGCTTTGACTTAAGAGGAAGCTAACCTAAATCTATAAATAGAGGGAGTAATCCCTAATTTTGTAATCAAGTCAATTAAGTTGTATTCACAACATTTGCAGTTACAAGTGAATAATAAAGTTTTTCACAGTTTGTGGGCAGAGAGAAATTCTACAGAAAATAATTGTCTTCTTTTCTTTTCTCATAATTCATTGTCATTGTGTGGTGATATCAATCTTGTTCATCAAGATTGATAGAAATTCATCATATATATTTGGTGGATTTCCAACATCTAGTATCAAGAGCTCGGTTAATCGATTCAAGGGAAGTATCGATCAAGAACGATTGATGAAGAAGAAGAATTCACGATGGCGAGTTATGGGAATGCAAATTATCCAACAATTCTCCTAATTCTGAAAGTAGACAACTATGAGAATTAGTGCAAACAGATGAAAGTTTTATTCAGGTGTCAAGGTCTTTGGGATCTTGTAAATGATGGATTGGAAGCGCTTGAAAAAAACGCTTCAGAAGAAGAAAAGAAGAAACACACAAAATTTGAGAAGCTGAGTTATAACGCACTCTTTATAATTCATCAATGTCTGAGTCCAGAAAATTTTGAAAAAGTGAGTGATTTAGAATCTGTAAAAGAAGCTTGGAAGGTTTTTGAGAAGTCTTTTGGTGGTGCAGAAAAGGTAAAAGAAGTGAGATTACAAACTCACAAGAGAACGTATGAATTGCTTCAGATGGAAGATAGTGAGAGCATATCTGATTTCTTCACTAGGGTTACAAAACTAGTGAATCAAATCAAGGTATGTGGAGAAACATTAACAACAAGAGCTATTGTTTTGAAGATCTTGAGATCTTTGGCTCCTAAGTTCGACCACGTGGTGGTGGCTATAGAAGAGGGGAAAGACTTGTCGAAATTTTCAAAGGAAGAGCTTCAAGAGACGCTTGAATCTCATGAACAAAGAATGAATGAAAGATCTGCAGGCAAGTCAAAGAGTGATGTGGCTTTGCAGGCACATTCATCAAAAGAAATCAAAGGAAAAGGAAAGTAGTTCGACAGAGATAGAGGCTGCTACAACAAATCGACTGGTAGAGGAAATCAGAACAAAGAAAATGTGTCGAATCAGAGAAGACCATACCAAGGCAACCAAAGAGGCGGTGTTGCAAATAGAGGAAGAAGTGGTGGTCGAAAACCTGACAAAAGTCACATTCAATGTTACAATTGTCAAAAGTATGGTCACTATTCGAGTGATTGTCCAGAAAAGCGAAAGAATCAAGAAAGTGATGTAAAGTTTGCAAAACATGAAGAAGAAGAGATGATGTTGATGGTCACAACAAGAGATGAAGATATATTCAAGGACCAATGGTACTTGGATTCAGGAAGCTCATCACATATGTATGGAAGGAAAGACTGGTTTGTCAACATAAAGCCCTCAATGAAAAATATGGTAAAATTTGCAAATGACAATACCCTACCAGCTGAAGGTATTGGTGATGTTATGATTATGAGGAAATATGGAAAGAGGTCAGTAATTTTCAATGTGTTGTACATACCAGGCATGAAGAGCAATTTGCTCAGTATAGGGCAGTTGGTCGAAAAGAATTATAAAGTGTCAATCGAAGATAAGATGATGAGAGTTGTCGATGCAAATGGAAGATTAATCTTGAAGGCTCATATGTCTCTTTCATAGGTTTTGACTTAATGAGCTTTTATTTTGAGAGATAATGACTGCCTGTCTTGACGATTATACGGAACCATCACCATCTTTTGTTTTGGAAGGATTTCTTCGATGCCATTCATTATGTACGAAGCGGAAGATTGTGACTGAATGCGCCTCTGAATTAACTGAGAAAACTACCCTGCCCCGGGTTATGATTAAGGGTTTTAATTTGTGCGAAAAGAAAAACTCCTACTTCTTTGGCTCGAAGGGGTTGACTAGGGATTATCTTTCTTATAACTCCACTGTTTAGGATTTGAAACAACGCCTGTACATCATTAGCAGAGTATGTTCAAAAGCATATTGTGGAGATTGTGGTATCATTTTCGTCATCCTCCCTCTAAGGATTAGAGTTTTTAATCGAGAGTTGAATATCACAAAAGGAAATAAGAACGCATTTTTGAAATAGTGAATACAAATGAATTGATTCAAGACAAACATGTGCAATACATTGATGAAATAACGAGGTTTGATATGAATAAATGTTCAAACAAATCAAAAGAAAATTACACATTGAAAATTCTAATGAACGAAAAGTCTTGTTGTGAGAACTTGTCACTTCCGAAGGTATGCCTTGGAGGGATGGCAGAAGAACTCAGCCTGACCGTCTTGTGCAAATTCTATTGCTCCTTCATCAATCAGGTCTTGAATTTTATTTCTCAACACCCAACAGCTGTTGGTGTTATGTCTAGGACTGTTGGAGTGGTACGCACATCTTGCATTTAGATTGTACCTTGGGGAGGCTATGTTGGGATTCTGAGGAGGGTCCCTTAACATAACCATATTTGCCTTCAACATGCGTTGCAATGCTTGAGCCAATGACATGTTGATCTCGGTGAAGCGTCTTTCGGATGTATTCTTCTTATGTCGATTGCCCCATTATCATTGGCGAGGTTGTGGTTGGGCTTGTGATGTAGTAGCAATCTGGAAAGGTTTATTCCTTACCAAACCAACCTCTTCTCTCACTGGGGGATGATTAATGCCTTGATCCACAATTTTAACTGTTTGTTTCATGGATCCGCATCCCTCTTGGTGAAGCTTGTTGAGGAAGGCTCTTAGCCCTTCTTTTCCTCGAGCTAAGTTTTGGATAAGAGTCATTTGCCCCAGCATCTGGATTCTCGTTGCTTCTACCTCAGCTTGCAATTGTTCCAATTGTTCATCCTTGTTGTTGTCAGGACATTCCTTGGTCAGATTCTCGGTGAAGAGTGTTTTCAGGTCTTCTTGCCCCTTGGATAGATTCAGGAGAAATTCCTTGAACTGGGAATCTTGAGCTTGGAGATCTCTATTGTCTTGTTAGAAAGCCATTGCTGAAATAAACAGCGAGAACATGAGAGACCTGCTTTGAAACCTACTTATGCAATGATATGTATTATATATGCATGCAATATTTTCAAGGATCTCGCGGGGTAAACAACAAAATATCAGAAGTTGAATTTTGCAGCTTTAATTGAAGAACATTGTATCATTGAATGTCCTTCTACAAGAGTCAAGCTCACTATATCAAGTGGGTCATAGCCCCTGACTCAAGTTGTTGAGTTTTGATCTTCTGACGAAATTGGCTAGAGGAAAATAAATCCCCTTGCCCCTTGCTAGACGTCTGATTTATCATAACCTGCATCACATGCCCTTGAGATCCTTGAAATGGTTAAGGAAATGTTAAGGCATGATGTTAGGATGTGTATGGTATGCTTTTAAGCAAAGGTGCAAAGTGATGTAAGCAAGTAAACCCTGCAAGAAATCCAAGTTATTGGATAATAACTGTAAACAAAACCTGCAAGGAACTCATGTTGTCAGGTAATACAACTCTGCAAGTAGTTCAAGTTGAAAGCACACAAGTCATGCAAACAACCTTAGGTTTAGGCTTGCATGGGTTTTAAGGTCATACCCTCTTGAAGCTGGATTAGTTCAACCTGTCCTATAAATAGTAACTGGGTTCTAAGGGATCTCAATATCGTTGATCTTTCCCCCAAGCCTTATTCAATCGACGATTGACTCGTAATCAAACAAAACTCAGAAGTCAAACCTTAATGAGTGTAGCATCGAGTATCTGTCGACCTTGGGCATTCACCAAAGTCGACCATCTCGATACGTCCTACTGGCCAAGTTGTGAAATTAAAGGTTCTAAGGTCAGTTGATGCTTTATGACACCACACGGCGGCTCCATACATCTCCCTGATTGACTCAAGGGTTACGGGTACCAACCAAAGTGCCACATCAATGTAGCTACTGCTTCAACCGTGTCGGTATACCCCAACACAAATTCCTCACAGTTTATTGCTACTTACCTAAAAGGTGTTTCCCGGTCTGGGTGTAGGATCAAATAACCTAAACAGTTCCCATAAATATAAAGCAAGCAAGACAATCAAGAGAAAGTAATTAAATATGACCTAGATCCTAAGATTTACCCCACTTAATGTTTTATTCCCCAGCAGAGTCGCCAGTTCTGTGATACGGTGGCAGGACTGACTGTTAATACTGGTTTGCATTTTTTGTTCGCAAAATGTCGCGATAAGCAAGAGTCGCCACCGAATTTTATTTTATCCAATCAGGAAAAGGAAAAAGA